TTATATATATTTATATATATATATATATATATATATATATATATGTAAAGAAAGAGGTGACATATTTCTAAATACAACCCATAGCTGTTTCAGCTTTTTATGTGCTTATGTGTTATTCCTAATGTGATCAGTGCTTTCCAGTTTATGTCTTTCTGCCTTTAATTCATTTTTTAGCACAGCAGCAGCGTTTTAGAGATTATAATAGCAGGTAATGATGGAGCCGATAAAAAGCCGGGGAGAACCTGTGCCTGTACTGACCCCGACGCCCCCATCCCTGCACAGGCACACACAGCTCTCAGTCGTTTGTCATGTTCTGCATTCCTTGTGAATGTTTGAACTCCCTCCAAGGAACTGGCAAGGGGGGAAACAAGAATAATACAAAATAGGTACCATAATCTTTTATCAAAGCGTGTTTCTGAATTTTTGGCACGGGAATTCTTCGTGGCATAATGCGCTCCAGCTTTGGGGAAACAAGTGGAAAATGCCCAAAGGCCGAAACAACTAATGAATACTTGTGTTGAGATGTCTGGTGCAACACATGTTGGTAGTAGGCAGCTACTGAGTGAAGCGAGGAGAGAGGCAGCTACTGAACAGGGCGAGAACCTTTTCTGTGATGGGAGAACGTGTTTCTGATGATTACAGCAGGGTGTGAGCTCCATCATTTAACATTCTGCAAACAACCACGGCTACAAACATGGCTGCAAGGCAACACCGCAGACAGAGAGGTCGCTGAGGTCATCCCCTGGCTTTTTATTGCAGGAAATTTGGCATTTTGTTAAAAAAATAAATAAAAACTACAAACAGGGCTTCTTTTATATGACAAAGGCAGATAAATAACACAATTATTTTAACGAGTAGAAAGAGTTGATTAAGAGTTGGTTTATTTTCCCATAACTTCTGGTGAATTTAATGATTTAACAGGAGTAAAATGTGGGAAGTGGTGACGCAGAGGATAGAGAAGGTGGGCCTGTGATTGGAAGGTCGCCGGTTCAACTCCCCGAACCAACAACATCAAAATGTTGGTGGTAAAGGTGAAACATGCACACCTGCCTCCACCCTCGTTTGCCCCACTGTGTGCCCTTGAGCAAGGCCCTTAACCCTCACCATCTGTTCCCCCGGGCACCCTATATGGCAGCTCTCTGCTCCACACAGAGGGCTGTGGTAGCTCAGTGGTCTGTGGTTACGTCAAGAAGGACATCAAAACAATTGTCAAGTCTTCATGAGTTAACCAAGTCCATGCTCAATAATCCAGGTATATAATCCAACATTTTCAGTCAGGTCATCTGGACAGTTTCTTTTTTTTGTGCTGAAACGTTTCACTTTCCATCCAGAAGGCTTCATCAGTTAAGGAAACACACAACACAAAACTGATTCTTCCCCCAACAGCTTACTCCAAAGTGGAACAAACCAGTTATGTTGGTGCTAAGATGGTCTCTTTGGCACGCCCCCTCCTCTGGTGCCGGCCCTCTCCCTCGTCAACAGTCACGTCAAACTGGTTCAAAACCAACAAAGTCCATTCTCAATAATCCAGGTATACAATCCAACAATTTTCAGTCAGGTCATCTGGACAGTTTCTTTTTTGTGTGCTGAAACGTTGTGTTGTGTGTTTCCTTGACTGATGAAGCCTTCTGGATGGAAGGTGAAATATTTCAGCACAAAAAAAGAAACTGTCCAGATGACCTAATCTTCATGAGTTAGTTTGCTGTGGTGACCCCAGAGGAAGGGAGCAGCCGAAAGAAGAAGAAACAAACAATCAAGTGCATAATGTGATGGAAATACATTATTTACTGATCTGCGTCCTGATACATTCAATATTAATTTTCTATATTAATAATCATTTTATTACTTTCAGGTCATTGCAAATGTTATTACAATGTTATTTGATATTAAAATGCTTTGGTCTCACTGTTCATGGAGTGGAGGCACCAGAGGTCTGCAGGCTTGATGTTTGCCACCACACTGATCCCATAGGGAACGCTGAGGCCAGCAGCCTCATGGGTTCAGTTCTAGATCCATCTTATATTCGAGAGCTCATTGTTCCATATTTTACTAACAGAGCACTTCGCTCTCAGACTGCAGGCTTACTCGCGGTTCCTAGTGTTTCCAAAAGCAGAATGGGAGGAAGATCTTTCAGTTATCAGGCTCCTCTCTTGTAGAACCAACTTCCAGTTTCTGTCCATGAGGCTGACACATTGTCCAGTTTTAAGACTGGGCTTAAGACTTTCCTTTTTGATAAATCCTATAGTTAGGGTTGGCTTGTTATGCTGCCTTAAGCTTAGACTACTGGAGGACAAATTGACCTAATTTCCTTAAATGATTTGCTAAAACTGAATAGTTTTTATTTGATACTATTTCTATCTTAACATGTGATTCTTGACCTGCCATTGTGTATCTGTTCCTACCAAACTCAGCCGGCCAAAGCAGATGGCCACTTGTCCCTGAGCCTGGTTCTGCTAAAGGTTTCTTCCTCATGAGGGAGTTTTTCCTTTCTACCGTCGCCTTCATGCTTGTTCAAAATGAGAGTTCTGTGATGGAGTTAACTTCAAAGCAGTCTGCTCCTCAGATAAATAATGTTAAATTATTATTTTTATGTATGGATGTTTCTGTTCAGTGCCCTGAGATGTCTTCTGTTGTGACTTGGCACTATATAAATAAACTGAATTTAACTGAGTTCTGGAAAACACTGAGACGGGGGAGGGTGTGGGTAGGAGACCTCCCAGATGAGGTTCTATAAAACCACCTTTTTTATTTCAGGATGTCAGAACGGGTCAGAAACTCAGACGGACAAAGCATGAATAAGTTCTGTACTTGTGATGTGTTGACTTTCGGTGAGTCTGGCTGTTCCCCAAAGCTTCGTAATAAATTTGATGAAATCTAAACCTGATATCGGCCTAGCTTTCCTTAAAGAAATGCTCATATCAACCACCTTTTATTGAATGTGCTCGTCTTATGTTGAGAAGGGGCGGAGTTACAATCAATTTGTTCAACCCTTGAAAAGAACATTTTGTGTAATCTCATGCAGAACTGCAACATGAGAGCTCAGAGAATGTGTTGATGATGACTCCCCCATAACACTTTAGCTCAATATCTGCAAAACAGACTGAGTTATGGCCATGTTTGTGTTTGCTAATGTCTAAGAATCTTGAATGTGGCTGACTCCAAAAGTGAATTAGTTTTAAATGTACAATCACTTTCAGGGCATTCAATAAAAATCTGTTCAATGGTTCGTGAGATATTCTGCTAAGACAGACAAATGAACACACACGGGCAAAAACTGGATTTAATTGTTATAATTACGTTAAGAATTAGTTGTTTTTTTTTATTCAGGCATAAGAGTTGGATAATATCAATACATAAACTAATCTTGAAACTCCACTCATTTATTTCAATTTTTTTTCCTAATGAATTTTGCACAAACAAATCCTTGTTTTTGTGTACCACCAACAGGGGATACTTTTAGGTAAATAAATCTCTGGTGGAAGACGTTACATTCAGTAACTTCACATAATATAAAAAAAGTGGTTGCTAAAATGTCTGAAAAAGGCTATAAAGTGAAAATTATCAAGTGATGGCAGCCATTTTAAAAATGGATGACAATTTTCAATGCCTTTAGTCAAACAACTTTATAAATCTTTTTTTTTTCCCCTAGGATGCATGTCATACCATGTTTTTAAAGTATGTTTTGAAAAATCTTAGCCGTTACTGTAAAATAGGTGAAAAATAAGATTGGTCAAACGATATCTTGTCATACATACAACGTCACACGTCATACAAACATAGCTTTTGTATACAGCCTGAAAATAGCTTTTGTATATCAGTGAATTTGAAAGTCTAGGGAAATTTCTAATGGACAAACATTTAGAAAGAATAAATGATGGTAGTGACATCAACACAAGAATGCGTGTTCCTCAAAGTTTTCCAGGGATAAGACCAACTCAAGACAACCTAATTGTTTGCATTTGTAAATCCAAAGGGTATTCACATGATCTGTTCTTAAAACCAGTCATTCAGATTTCAGATGGTATTGCCTTTAGTCTAAGAGTTCCAACTCTTTTCCTTAAAACATTTCATAGAATTCTGATACATGCTCAATAATCCAGGTAGAAAAATCCAAAAAAGTTCAATCTGGTCCTCTGGACATTTGCTTTGTTTTGTTTTTTGTTTCTTTGTTTTCTTGTTTTTTTGAATGTCCAGAGGACCAAATTGAACTTTTTTGGATTTCATAGAATTGTTCTTTATTTTAGAGGGCATATATCATAATATATTTGAGGCAACTTTGGTGCTTCTATCATTAAGTGAATTGTTCATCTGTAGTCCCCATTTCAGCCTGCGCTGTCGTTACCACTCCTCGCCGCTAGAGGGAGACGCTCTGCTTTTCAGCAGCAGAGATATGTTTTTAAAGGAAGTGTAAAAAAAAAAAAAAAAGTTGTGTAGCCACTAGCCAGAATAATACACGGTTATCTCCTCCGATCGGGAAAAGGCCACTATGGAGGAGAGATAAAGCGTGTTTGACTTAGATAGCACATAAACGATTGCCTCAAATCCACAGGAAAACAAAAAAAGTTGTTATTGGATAAATACGTCTTCATCCATCTCAAACAAGCAGTCATGAACGAGGATTTTGACCGAGCTCCGGGAGCCGGGAGAACACGAAACCATGTTCCAGCAGACCCCGGGTTCGCAGTACTTAACACCGGAGACGGTGGCACCAAAAGCACCCTGTTCAACCAAACGGAGCCGCTGAGGCAGCCGCGAACTTCTCCACCTTTTGGCGAGAGCAACACCGCCGGCGGCGCGAGCAGCGTCCTGGTGGGAGCAGGTAGGAAGCTAACGGAGCTAAAGCAGCTAGCTACTTTCAGATTCGATTCCTGTTTTGCTCGTTGACCGCGTCGCAGAGGACCAATTTCATCTTTGTCCGCTTCGGTTCACGTATCATTTGCTAAGCGTTTGAGGTCACCCGTCTTACTAAAGCTAAACCATTTATAATGGTGTTGAAAACTGTTTAAATTCATTTAAGCTAACGCTGCAGCTAAAAAGCTCTGTTCTGCTCGTTGCTCAGTCACGTCAAAATCAAACTATTTACAAGGTGAAACCTATTTGTAGAGCAAGCATCCCATAATCTGTAGCTAATGAACTGCCTAGTGAAGTTTCTCTACAAAGTGTTGGTGTGCAGAACTGATTTAACAGTAAAGTCTTCTTTCCACCCCCTTTTAGTTATTTTTAGCATCAGAAGAGACAGGCTTTATTTAAATAATGTTTAAGGAACTTGTGAAATAGCTATCCAAGTCTGTAAAATCGCATTTCAGATTGTTGTTGTTGTTGTTGTTGTTGTTGTTGTTGTTGTTGTTGTTGTT